TTTTTCTTTCTTTCTTTTTTTTTTTTTTTTTTTTGAGATGGAGTCTCGTTCTATCACCAGACTGGAATGCAGTGGTGCAATCTTGGCTCACGGCAACCTCCACCTCCCAGGTTCAAGTGATTCTCCTGCCTCAACCTCCCAAGTAGCTGGGACTACAGGTGCATACCATCATGTCCAGCTAATTTTTTTTTTTTTTTTTGTATTTTTAGTAGAGACGAGGTTTCACCATGTTAGCCAGGATGGTCTCGATCTCTTGACCTCAAGATCCGCCCGTCTCAGCCTCCCAAAGTACTGGGATTACAGGTGAGAGCCACCGTGCCCGGCCCCTATATTCTTAAGTGTGTTTTTTCTTTTCTTTTGCTGTTTAGAAAAGATATACTAAAATTCAAAAAGTAGTAAAATAATTTTCAAAGTTTGATAAAAGTTTAATCAATTTATTGATCTATAAACCATAATTTATAGCTTCTTCTAAATTTAAGTCTAATAAAGACTGTTTTCAATCTTATTAATGTGAGTTGATAAGTCACCTTTTCTTCTAAATAAGGTGACCTGCTTATTTTTAGATGTTCTCAAGACATACTGAAGATATAGTAAAATAGATTATAAAAAGCAGTTTCTACTTCATTAACACTTTGCAACACAGCTCAACAAAGTAGAACCTAACTCTTTTATATTTTAAATTATTAAAAAGGAATACATACCCAACATTAGTTTTGTCTGGAATGTCCAGAGTTCCTCCATATATAAAATGCATCATAACATTCAGTTCTACATGGCTTATACTGAAAAATAAAAGAAAACTCAAATCCAGAAATAATTAAGGTTTAATCAATATCAATGATTCAATTTTCCCATAAACTTCCAGCCAAGATAATGTTCTAATCTTCCTTTTACCTGAAGAATACACTCTTCAAATAACATCCATGCAGGTATACCATTAATTTAAACAGAACGACAACAATAGATTTTTATATAAGTTATACAGTGTTATTAGTAGGTTATCAAATCATTATTTATTGAGCATCTTCTACCTTGAACTATATAAAACAGATAAAAGTTGAAGGGGCATCCCTTACCAAATGGCCTTCCCCTAAGATCCCAATCCTATGCCATGTGTTTCTCCTAACGTGCCTACTAGGAACATTAGGGTTCTGTGGGACAAAGATTTACACAGTGGAGAAGAAGAGCAGTCTGAGCTAGCTCAAGAACACATACCAATGGGAAAACTTTTAAATTTCTTCACTGACTGTGGTGGAATGAACTCTGAATTATGAATTGACAAATGTGATTTAAGCTGGGTGCAGTGGCTCACACCTATAATCCCAGTACTTTGGGAGGCCAAGGTGGGAGGATCGCTTGAGATCAAGAGTTTGAGACCGGCCTGGGCAACATGATGAGACCTCATCTCTACTAAAAATTATAAAAACTAGCAAGGTGTAGGAGTACACATCTATAATCCCAGCTACTTAGGAGGCTGAAGCAGGAGGATCACTTGAGGCCCTATATTGACCTCAGATAAAAAGAATTTAATTAGATCATCATTACATAATGTGTTTTTTTTTGTTTTGTGTTTTTTTTTTGAGACGGAGTCTCACTCTGTCGCCCAGGCTGGAGTGCAGTGGCACGATCTCGGCTCACTGCAACCTCTGCCTCCCTGGTTCAAGAGATTCTCCTGTCTCAGCCTCCTGAGTAGCTGGGATTACAGGCATGTGCCATCACGCCCAGCTAGTTTTTGTATTTTTACTAGAGACGTGATTTCAACCATGTTGGTCAGGCTCATCTTGAACTCCCGGCCTCATGATCCCCCCACCCTGGCCTCCCGAAGCGCTGGGATTACAGGTGGGAGCCACTGCGCCTGGCCTACATAATGTATTTTTTAAAAGCGCATATACAGAAATAATAAATGAAAACAAATGAAATGTAGATACAAGTAGGGAAAACAACTCACTTCTCCTGTTGTTACATATCTTTGCTATGTATTGCCCATGCCATGTATTTTCATGTTTTGGATGTTTCTAAGCACATTTATTTCTCAGTTAGGTTGAAGAGTTTAATTTCTCTTTATACACTTAATAAAGACCATCAAACAGCCAAATTGTATATCTAGTATCTAAATGTGTATTTCTGAAGATCTCTTCTCTCAGAGAAGAGCAAAACCTTCTTTGGAAAGGTCTCCAGTATAGTCCTTCTGGTAAGGTCAGTGATTTCCAAGTCTTTATTTATGAACTGCTATTAATTTGATTTTCTAATACCCCTTTCCTAAAAGTGTTATATTAGTATTTAAAAACTTGAATGTAGGCCAGGTGCAGTGGCTCATGCCTGTAATTCCAACACTTTGGGATGCCAAGGCAAGGTGAATTACTTGAGGTCAGGAGTTCAAGGCCAGCCTGGCGAACATGGCAAAACCCCATTTCTGCTAAAACTACAAAAATTAGCCAGGCGTGGTGGTGCATGCCTGTAATCCCAGCTACTCAGGAGGCTGAGGCAGGAAAATCACTTGAACCTGGGATACCAATGGAGGTTGCCATTAGCTGAGATCTCGCCACTTGACTTCAGCCTGGGTGACCGAATGAGACTCCATCTCAAAAAACAAACAAAAAAAAGAAATTGAATGGAAATATTTGCTTTGCATATTAATAGTTTAAACAATTAAGATCCCTTTGAGATAACTGGAGATACTTTAAGTTATATAAAATATATACGTGTGTATACGTGTGTGTGTGTGTATATGTGTGTGTGTGTACATATATATATATTTTTTTTTTTTTGAGACAGGGTTTGGTTCTGTTACCCAGGCTGGAATGCAGTGGTGTGACCATGGCTCACTGCAGCCTTGAACGCCTGAGCCACGACTGTGTCACAGCACTCTAGCCTGGGCGACATAGCTAGATCCCACCTCAAAAAAATAAAAAGAAAAAAAAATTTAGAAAACTACCTGTTATGAACTGAAATGTCTGTGTTCCCTCCAAATTCATATGGTAAAGCCCTAACCCCCAGTGTGGTCATATTTAGAGATGGGGCCTCTAAGAAAGTAATTAAGGTTAAATGAGGTCACATGGGTCCTTGATCTGATAGGATTCGTTTCCTCATAAGAAGTACCATAAGACTGTCTCTCCAAGTGCATGCACCAAGGAAGGGCCACATGAGTGTACAGCAAGAAGGTGGCAGTGCAACCCATAGGCAGAGCCCTCATCAGACACCAAAACTGCTGGCACGTTTATCTTGAACTTTCAGTTTCCAGAACCTTGAGAAAATAAATACCTGTTGTTTAAATCACCCAGTTTGGATATTCTGTCATAGAAGCATAAGCAGATTAACACAATACCTCTATTAATGAATGCTCTCTATTACTTCCTGTTTCAGAAAATGTACTTTGTTGAATTCTACCTGAGAAATATTTCACTGAACATCCAGGGAAATCAGATTCATAAAAAGTGCGTTGTATGAAATACAATTTGCAATCATTTGCAGTCAAATGGCCCTGTAAAAATATGCTTACCCTTGAAGAGTAACGTACTCTTGGGAGCTTTCAGCCCAACAGCCACTCAGCATTGCAGCAAAATAACTAGATCTGGCACTCAAAATGGCCCTAATGGGAAGAGGGGGGAGAAACACAGATAAACATTTACATATTACTCAAAATGTAATTTTTTATGAAAATTTTCATCTTTATGTATTAAAACACAATGATCTATTTGTTTTGTTTGTATTCACGGGCAGGATTACTACATAATAAAACTTATAAGTTTATATTTATACCTAAGGGTTTTGTTTTTTGTTTTAAGAGACAGGGTCTTCCTCTGTCACCCTGGTTGGAGTGCAGTGGCGTGATCATAGCTTACTACCACCCTGAACTCCTAGGCTCAAGTATGATCCTCCTACCTCAGCCTCCCAAGAAGCTAACACTACAGGCATACAGTATCACACTCAACTTGATTTTTAAATTTTTGGTAGAGACAGGGTCTCACTATGTTGTCCAGGCTGGTCTCAAACTCTAGAACTCGAGCAATCCCCCTAGTCCTGAAGTGCTGGGATTTATAACTAAGCATTTTGATTGTTTAAAACACTAATTCCAATGCCCTTGCTATCTTTTTTTTCTTTGAAGGCTCTTTAATTTTTTAAGCTTATAAAAACATAATTTTTATATTTAATTAGTTAAATATAAAAAGGTAGCTAAAGACAAAGTACTGATCAGCAAACCTCATTTAATATGGATTATTTTGGAAATTTAACAATTTTTAACGAGGTGGCCTCCTATCTCATACTAAAGTATAAATCAAATCTCTTTCCCAGATTTATACCTCATACTTAGAAACAATCTGAAACTTTTTCAAATCAATGAAAACAACAACAACAACAACAAAACCTACCATGACCAATTTAAATGACCTGGGAAAGGGTAGGAGAGGTGATCAATAATCAGAGCCAGTTGCACACAGATGGAAAAGCTTGTTGTCACTCCCAAATATATCCCTACATTACATTATATGTAAATCACAATGGAAATAAGTGGCTACATTACAGAACTATGAAATTCTATTTAGAAAATAATAGGCCAGGCACAGTGGCTCACGCCTGTAATCCCAGCACTTTGGGAGGCTAAGGCGGGTGGATCACCCAAGGTCGGGAATTCAAGACCAGCCTGGCCAAAATGATGGGAAACCCCCTCTCTACTTAAAAAAATAATAATAATAATAATGGCCAGGCGCAGTGGCTCATGCCTGTAATCCCAGCACTTTGGGAGGCCGAGGCAGGCAGATCACGAGGTCAGGAGATCGAGACCATCCTGGTTAACATGGTGAAACCCCGTATCTACAAAAAATACAAAAAATTAGCCAGGCGTGGTGGCGGGCGCCTGTAGTCCCAGTTACTCGGGAGACTGAGGCAGGAGAATGGTGTGAACCTGGGAGGCGGAGCTTGCAGTGAGCCAAGATCGCACCACTGCACTCCAGCCTGGGTGACAGAGCCAGACTGCGTCTCAAAAAAACAAACAACAACAACAAAAAATTAGCCAGGTGTGGTGGCGGGTGCCTGTAATCCTAGCTACTCAGGAGGCCGAGGTAGGAGAATTGCTTGAACCCAGGGGGTGGAGGTTGCAGTGAGCCGAGATCACGCCACTGCACTCCAGCCTGGGCAACAAAAGCAAAACTCTGTCTCAAAAAATAATAATAAAAACAAAAAATAAAAATAAACTGTTGGGTATCATTGGAATAATGTAACTCGTAAGGCTAGAAAATACTGAAATACAGTTCAGATTCAAAACATAAGTTCACTTTTTAAAAAGTCTGCTAGAGAAATAAATGCTAGATAGGAAAGTAGGACTTGTAGCAGAATGACCTTTTATACCAATTTGAAAAACACAAACATACCATACCCTACCCCCATCCCACCAGAAATTCTAGTCGAAATAAAAAGGAAGGAACAAATGCTAAAGTAAAAAGTTTTGGTCGGGCATGGTGGCTCACACCTGTAATCCCAACACTTCGGGAGGCCATGGCGGGTGGATCACTTGAAGTCAGCAGTTCATGATTAGCCTGGCCAACATGGTAAAAGCCCGTCTCCATTAAAAATACAAAAATTAGCTGGGCGTGGTGGCTGTGCCTGTAGTCTCAGCTACTCGGGAGAATCACTTGAACCCGGGAGGCCGAGGCTGCAATGAGCAGAGATCACGCCACTGCACTCCAGCCTGGGTGACAGAGCAAGACACTGACTCAAAAAAAAAAAAAAAAAAAAAAAAAGGAAAAAAACTTCCAAAATCTCATATCCCACTGAATTTAGTGGGGAAAAATTCCAGACACTGAACTTTGTCAGCTTGATACCTCTCCCTTTAGCAATATTACCTCCATTTCTGTTATGACTTTTGTTCCAACTGACTCTAGTTGTAGCAAATTCAATCCCTTGGAATCAGCTTGATAAGCATAGGAGATTATACTAGAGTCAACTGAAGGATGTACATTAACCAAAAGCTCTAAATTAACAACCAGGAGTGTAGATCTCAAATTCTGATCCTCAATTCAGCATCTGATCAATACTTGGCACTAGCTGGATAAAGGTCTAATCAGAATTTGCGAGCAGAGGCAGACGTAGTTAAATCATAACCCAATATTTGCAGTCTATGATTTGGTTCCAAACTTAAAAGACAGGTATAGATAGACACATCTAAAAATATTTCAGAATTGGAGGGAAAACATTAATAACAAGATATAAACAAAACCAGGCAAATTAGCTTGGCAAACAAAAATTCTGGTTAAAAAAAGAAACTAAACTGATCATACCCACTGATAATTTAAGAGTGGAAAAATGGGCATTTTTCCACGCTTAAACTAGTTTAATTACAGGCAGATGTACTTCTACTATACTAAGATTTTTCTGTATCCATTTTTCCTAATCCTTAAAGTTTAATGATAAATCACTAATTCTATAAAGAAATACAGCATATATGTCCACAGTCTAAATATGCTTAAAACTGGAAAGTTATGTCAGTTAAAAAAAACAAAAATCTTACACTGTTCCATCATTACTCTATGGTAATTCAACTGATGCTGCGATCTGCCCTCACCCAAAAGCATGGCACTCACTGCTCAGAGGTTGAATACTAACATTGCCCAAAGTGAAGCAGTAACAGCAAAGACTCCACAAAACTCTATTTAATTGTGTATGAGCATTTAATTACTACTCCAAATTAAAAACGGTACAGTAAGAGCAACTTGTAATATACAAACAGACAAGAAGCTGTGATGCTAATGTCCATCTGGCACTGTAAATAGCGAAAATAAAGTGGTCTGCATGAGTGAAGTATGGATTGGGGAGAGGAAAAAAGGGAGGCCCAGGAGGCAGATTTCAGACAATGACACAAAACTGTTGTACTACTAGATGTTTCGTTTGAGGAGGTCTGAGCATGAGCCAAGAGCACATTCAAATCTAGGCTGGTCCAGCTTAATGTACTTCAAGGGGCCATGTACAACCACTGTGGCAACAGGAGGATGATTCATCAGTAATGCAAGTTCACCAAAATAATCAGAAGGCTCCAATCTTCCCACTTCAACAAACTCTTCATTTTCTGACCAACGTTGCAGCATAGCAGCTGGCCCCTCTAGAATAATAAGGAACTCATCTCTCATCCCCTGGTTCTCCCTGCACCACAATCTTCTGCCAGTCTTCAAACTTGACTAGTTCCCATGTATCGGCTACCATAAGATGCTCCCTCTTATCCAGAGACTCTAAAATAGACACTTTACTAAGGAATTCCTCATACATCTTCCACTTTCTCAGTGTGCTTCCCATACAGATTCTTCCATAGCTGTCTCGGTTGATACACTACCATTTCACATTTGCCTTTGCTTTGACAGTGGCTACTCTAGGTGTTCCATAAATCAAAACAAATTCTCCAAAGCTCCCTCCTTCCTCAATACTGGTTGCTCATTCATCATTAACACAGACATCCCTCTCTCCTTGATCAATCACACAGAAGTTATCCCCTTCATCACCTTGCAGAATCACTGTCTCTCCAGTGATAAAGGAGACTGGAAACATGGCATCAAAAATATCACTTCTCTCATTATCATCAAGATGTGAAATCAGCACATTCTTTTCAATGGCTTTGGCTAAAGACATTGCCTTATAATGGCTTTTGGTATAATCTTATAATCTTTCGGTATAATCTTTCTAACATATAATGTGGCATCTTCCTCCATGAAGAATTCAGTGCTGACGGTACCTTGTCACCTCTGATCTTTAACCACTGGGTTGGATGGAGGAGGAGAGATTTCATTCTCCTTAATTCTGTACAAGTGCCTGCTTCCTGCATATTGTGAATTTGTTTTGTCTCCTGCTTCTCCAACCTCTCAAAGTGTTCCCTGAGGAATGCCACTGGTCCCCGGGGTTGAGCAGTGCACAACTGCATAATAGAATCTTTGAGCAGTGCCTGAATGTTGTGCTTCTGGAGGCAGAGCTCACATTCTCAAAGGCTATGCTCCTCCTCTCTGGCAGCAGTGTCACCAGACGCCATGGTTCTCTGTCCCTCTCTGGGTGTCTCAGGTCCCCTCTATTCTTTCTTCTGCTCTTCACTCCCTCTCCACGTGGCTTTCAATGAGCTTCCCTCTTCTCTCCTCTGCTCCTCTGTCCACCCTACTCTCCCTCCAACCTCCCTCAATGCCTCTCAAAGTTTCTTTAATTAACAACAATGGAAACTATGTCCATGACTAAGAGGAATAAATCATTTACAAATGGAGAAACAAAGACCAAAGATGTTACTTTAAATTTTAAGGAAATATCAATAAGAGATTATAATTACTGTTTGTCAATTAAACATTTTAAAAATAAAAAATAGATTCTACAATATCTTAGGAAAGAAAGAAAATAAAAATAAAAAATAGGGACAACTCTACATTTAAAATATTTTTAAATTATAAAAAAAAGAGCTTACAATCCTAAAGGTCCTGAGTTCTAGTTCAAAACTCACCATAATTATGTTCAAGAAAGGATATATCTTAGTTTTGAAAAAATGACAAGAAAGATATTTTCTTTTGAATTACCATTCTATCTTCTCAAATAAAATGCTAATGAATTCGTTCTTTAAAAAGAAATTTA